TAGAACGTCGTACGTAAGTAGATCAGTTCAAGTTGCCATACCACATTAGCGCACAGAGACGTAATCGTCAATTCAAATCCCATAGTAGTAGATCTGGTAGAAGTAATTAGCAATAATCGGAAAGATTAAGGTTCGAAGAAATTATTCAAGAAATATAATTCAGTGAGATAAATTTAGAAAAAGAAAGATAGAGATGATGAGGAATTCAGAAGGTTGGAATTAGAGAGAACACAAAGAGTAAATGCACCTACGCCATCGCAAACGATTTTGAGCCATGTCATTCAAGGTCTCTAACCATAGATTACCATTATCTCGATGACCCCAACCAGGTGGTGGTAGTCGACACTTACTAACATGACTCAATCCACACTTACTTGTCACTGACTTCATGTATTTGTGCCATGATTTAGTTTGTAGCCACTACTAACTACCTTACTTACTTACTTACGCCTGTTACCCCAGCAATAAAGCATAGGCCGCCCACCAGTTTTCTCCAACCAACTCTGTCCTGGGCTTCCCATTCCAGTTTTGTCCAATGTTTGTTCATTCCTCTCATATCTTTCTCTATTTCACAGCGTAATGTGTTCCTAGGCCTTCCTCTTTTCCTTCTGCCTTGAGGGTTCCATGTGAGGGCTTGTCTCGTGACGCAGTTAGGTGCTTTCGGCAATGTGTGTCCTATCCACTTCCACCGATTCTTCCTGATCTCCTACTCCACTGGAATCTGGTTTGTTCTCTCCCTCAGTTCGTTGTTGCTGATGGTGTCTGGCCAACGAATCCGAAGTATTTTGCGTAGACAACTGTTCATAACTACTTGTATCTTCTGGATGATGGCTTTGGTAGTTTTCCAAGTTTCCTCTCCATACAGTAGAACTGTCTTTATATTTGTATTGAAAATCCTGATTTTGATTTTGGTTGAAAGTTGTTTGGAGTTCCAGATATTTTTCAACTGTAAAAATGCAGCCCTTGCTTTGCCAATCCGTGCCTTCACATCTGCATCGGATCCACCTTGGTTGTCGATGATGCTGCCTAGATATGTAAAAGTGTTAACATCCTCCAAGGCATCTCCATCAAGAGTGATTTGGTTGGTGTATGTTGTGTTGCATCGGAGAATTTTGCTTTTTCCTTTATGTATGTTGAGACCTACTGCTGATGCTGAGGCTGCTAAACTACCTTAACTATTCCTTATAAAAAAACTCTGATATATATACTTACTTGATTGAATTCCAGCTAATTGACATGCATTATAAAATGATCGAGCAGTTGGATAAACTAAAGTGATTGCATGTGCAATTTCACCGGTTAATCCACGCCATTGACCTAATTGTGCAAGCCATACACGATTAGACCATAAATGTGAAGTTTGTTCTTGTACAGTAGTTAGTGCGTTAGAATTATTACTGTTGTTAATATTATTTATAATTGGTGCTTTACCAGGACCACGACCACGTGAAGCACAACCACTTAAACCTTTATGTATAGTATTTGGTAGAAATGTTAATCCTTCATCTTGTTCTAAACGTCCTTGTCTGTAAAGAAAAAAATACAGAAAGATAAGTTGTTTATGTAAAAAAGATGAACTCACTAATGAGGTTATAGGGTTTTTGTGTGGTTAGTAGCTACGAATCATGCACACACACATAATGTGTACATTAGTAATATTGTAGTGCGCTCTACTTATAAGTAGTATATGACGCGAGTGTCAACGTAATGTCTGGCAGCAGAAGATGGGGGAAGATCAACAAGAAAGGAAGAGTGGGAACACAATGGGATTTGTATGAAACGCATGAACGGTGAAATGTCAGACAATGGATTGATGTTTTCAAAATTAACGGTTTACGATATGGTTTTCCTATTTTACCAATTAACTCTGTAATTTTCGTTAAATACAATTTGGTTGCCCTCACCTGTGTTCTCCTTCACTACAATATTATCCAGTAAGCCATCAACTTTGCTGGTTCCAAGCTCAGATAAAAAAAGAAGGGTTCGGCATGGTGGTGAGCGACCCTATCCCGCTAGAAAACCGACTTGTTAATAAAACGCTAACCAAGAAAAACAATTCACTGGTCAGCAGCCTTTGATCCATTAGGGGTAACAGGCGTAAGTAAGTAAACCAACACCTGGGATACAGTGACTGAAAATGAAATGCTTTGCTCATCACTGAGCTAATTGTTTTACGAAGAACTAAAACTAAAATAAACTGATGAATGGATGACTAGTTATTTTTATTGAAATTTAAAACTCTAGAGATTTTTGACCACACAAATTATATCACTTAGCTACAAGAACCAATGATTTATACTTTCTAACTTCGTACAAGCCCCCAAATATTCTGGTACGGTCGAGAGGAGAGAGAATCCGCTCTCCTTCTTCAATTGCCCTCACATGGCCACGAGTATATAGTCACTACAAGGGAAGTCCTACTTACTGACTTCGTATGGAAACAGTGTTGTTGATGAAATTGAGGAGACAAATAGCGAATGTCCGGCGGAGGCTTAAAACGGGTTGGTGCGTATGGAGGATCCGGGAGTGACAACCGCCCTCATACCCGTAACAGCACACGAGACCAAATTGGTCAAAATCAAGTTCTTCTTACAACCCCTAATATCTATCTTATCTCTACGACCAACTCTAGTCGCATTCCTTCAGCTCACTGCACCGCTAATGCAAACGATGCGAGTTCACGAAACGTCATTCCTGGTTTCCTTAAACCCCGTTCTAAACTACATGTTGGAGCATTTAATGTACGGACATTGTTTCTGTCTGAGGATCCACCTAAGAGAGTCAGAAAACCCTAAGTTCAAACCAGTGGTCTATTTAGGCATCAGGATCCTGAGGGAGCAAAGACCTATAAGGCAAAGACTCAAGGAGTGGCTCCTTAAGAAAACTACCTGGTTCGGGTTGGGAACCCAAGCAGTAACTCGACCCAAACAAAAATCGAATTATTTATGTAGTACATAGAATATTTAGTGAAATTAACTTACAAAGAGAAAGGTAAAGGTGATAAGGAGTTCCGAAGATTAGAAGTTGAGAGAACACAAACAATGGATGCAAAAGAATTTAACCATGTCTTTCAAGGTCACTAACCATCGACTACTATTATCTCGAGGACCCCAATCAGGTAGTCTACACGTGCCAACATGAATCAGTGCACTTGTAAATGACTACAAGTGACTACATGTAAACGTGTGTCACACACCAAACGTTCAGCAAAAATTATATTAATAAAGACTGGTTACTAAATATTAACAAGTAGTATAAAACGGTTCACAAAATAAAACAATTGGAAAAGGCAAAAGACACCTATGGGATAGGTTAGTGGTTATTAGGACCTAACAGCTCAATGTATAAATCAGTGAAAGTTTTACGTTGTCAGTTTGTATGCAGATATAAACACTAAGATGTACGCATATTCAGCTGACGAGTGCCAAATAGTGTGGCAAAACAGGTCTTGAATTTCACTGTTAATAACCACAATCCAACTATTCTGTTGTAGGTCAATAGTTTATTATATACCAAAAAATAATCTAATGACATGAGGTTTATTCGTGTACAAATAAGAATGCACAGTACAGTATTGAAAAGAAACTAACTTACTTAATGGTCTCTCA